GCTGAGTCCTATCCCAGCACTGCTCCTGGGGCAGCCCCGAGGACCCCCACCTGGCACTGGGGAATCCCCACTGGTCTCAGACTCTCAAACTATTTTCTCCTGCAGAAGGGAAGGATACATCCCCAGCAACTATGTCACCGAAACCAGCAATTCCCTGGAGATTTATGAGTGAGTAGGAGAAAGCGTGGTGATCTGGCAAGTTGTGCTCGGTTGGAGACCTTTTACATCCACTTCTGGGCCAGGATCAGGCCAGGATGGGAACAGGGCTGGCCTGGGGGTCTCCCTGATGGTTATATCCCTCCCTGTTCCAGGTGGTACTCAAAGAATATCACTCGGAGCCAAGCAGAGCAACTGCTGAAGCAGGAGGTTAGTGCTGACTGCCAGGTCTGGGTCTTCTACACACATGACTTCTGCAGGCTGCTGTTGCCTCACATCTGGCATGGGCCAGCCCTGGCTTGTGCTGGGAGGGGAAAGCTGGGCTCATCTCTAAGCCGCTAGAGAACAGGCCAGCACCCACAGCTCCTTCGATGTTCACAGCTAGAAAGGGAGGAGCATGTGGCCTGATCTCCATCAGGGTCAATCAGTCTCTCTTCAGTGAAACGATGTGTTTCTGAATGCAGTGGATATTGAAGGCCAGTAGATTTAGGAGCGATGCAAGACTGCCCCTTCTTCTGTAGCTGACAAGGAGAATAGAGCTGGCTGGATCCAGACCAGAAATTCCTCAGGTAGCTGAAAGCCCCATGGTCCCAGCACTGCAGCCCAGCAGTACAGTTAGCCTGCACTGCCTGGGGGACAAACAAATGAACCCTGCAGCCTGTGTTACCCCAGCAGCCCCAGGAACTGTCTCCACTGTGATCTCCTCCCAGAAAGCAAGTCAGTAGGTGCCCCAAAGCAGGGGCCACAAGCAGGACTCCTTTCATTCGCCGCACCCTCTCCAGTCATGCTGTGATTGTCCCTCTTGCCTGCTGTGCTCACTTCCTCACAATTACCCCATCCTATCTTCACCCCCCCCCTTTTTTTTTTTTTAGGGTAAGGAAGGGGGCTTCATTGTCCGAGACTCAACCAGCAAGACAGGGAAATACACTGTCTCTGTTTATGCCAAGTCTGCTGTGTAAGTGGATCTAAGAATAGCTTGCTGCTATCTCAGAGGGCCCCTCCAGGCACCTCTCACTCTCTGCTTGCCCTTCCCAAGCTGCTGACCCCATGCACTGTCTCTCCAGAGACCCCCAAGGGGTGATCCGCCATTACGTTGTATGCTGCACCCCTCAGAATCAGTATTACCTGGCAGAAAAGCACCTGTTCAACACCATCCCAGAGCTCATCACGTACCATCAGCACAACTCTGCCGGTGAGTGCTCACGGGTGCAGGCAGAGCTTGCAGCCACAGCCTGAACCTAACGCCCCTCCACACAGGTGGAGTACAGTCACCATCTCCCTGCTCTGGCACAGCCCAGTGGCAGCTTTAGCAGAGCAAAACAGCCTGGAAAACACACCTCTGCTCTGCATGGCTGAATCCCCAGGAACTTCACACCCCCCCGATCATCCCTTCCCCTGAATTCCATCCATCAAACACCCCTCTACCCTCACCCCACATCTTTCAGTAATGCTTTGTTCTCCCATCCACAGCCCTCACTAGGCTGTAAAGAAAAACTGTTCTCTTTTACTGATGCAATTTCAATCGATCCTGTTCTTGACAAAAGTAAAATATGAACCTGTCCTTCTTAACCTACCCAGCAGTGTGGGTTTGCAGATGATAAAGCATCTCTCAAACAGGGAATGGAGATAGGAGGATGCAGCCCAAGAAAAGCTGGAACAAGAATGTTCCAAGCAAGGACAAGCTGTGACAGGCTCAAAGAAAGTACAGGGACAGAGTGAGGCCACCAGGTTTTACTGACTTCACAGCGTCCTCCTTTTCTCGGGCTGAAGGCAGGAGGCCTGTATTCCCTGCTGAAACATCGTGGTGTGGCAGTGCAGCTTTCTGTGTTTCAGGGCTCATATCCAGACTGAAGTATCCTGTGTCTCGACACCAGAAAAGTGCCCCTTCCACAGCTGGCCTGGGCTATGGTAAGCTGTCTCAGGCTTCCTTAAGTTTCCCTGGCTGCAGGGCCTGAAGGGTGCTTGGGTGCTCTGTCTGCAGGAACTCCTTGGGGCTGAGCTCCTGGTCGTTTCCCCACAGCAGGGCCCACATTGTTCCCTGGAATCCCTTCCTAATACTCCCTGGCTCTCTGGGACAATACCAACCAAGAGACTTGCAATTCTATCCCCTGGATGAAAAGGTCTTGGGCTTCATGATTTTTCTGTGATGGTTTTTCAGGCATGCTTCTGGTCTTTCAGCACATTCTTTCAGGCAGCACGTGCTTAAGAGCTCTTCTTGGACCAGCTAGACCAAATGACTGGGAGAAGCCTGCAGGAAGGGCACCTGCACCCTCATCACACTCACACTCTCTGTCCTAGGGTCGTGGGAGATTGACCCGAAGGATCTGACCTTCCTGAAGGAACTGGGGACAGGGCAGTTTGGCGTGGTGAAGTATGGGAAATGGAGAGGCCAATACAACGTTGCCATCAAGATGATCAGGGAGGGCTCCATGTCAGAAGATGAGTTTATCGATGAAGCCAAAGTCATGATGTAAGTGGTGAGCAGCCCCCAGGTCAGTGCAGCATGTATCTTGTCAGAATACCTGCACTCCCAGATGGTTTGGAGGGACAGCATCAGGAGGCTTCATGCACTGCAGAATGAATCTGCACTTCGAGAGCCTGTACTCTTTCTGCTGGTTTTGGCAGTGAGCATTCCAGGAGCACTCTTCCCTGCCCAATTCTCCTTCTTCTTATTCAGCAATGCTTCTTTTGCAGCTTGTCCTTACAGATGCTCAAAAATGCCCTTCTTGCCCCCAACACAGGAACCTGTCTCACGAGAAGCTGGTGCAGCTCTATGGGGTCTGCACAAAGCAGCGTCCCATCTTCATCATCACTGAGTACATGGCCAACGGCTGTCTACTGAACTTCCTGAGGGAAACTCAGCGGCGGTTCCAGCCTGCTGAGCTGCTGGAAATGTGCAAAGATGTCTGTGAAGCTATGGAGTATCTGGAATCCAAGCAGTTTCTGCACCGAGACCTGGTAGGCATGTGGCCAAAGGACACCTCTCCAGCTCAGTTGTAGCTGCAGGATGTCCTCGACAGGGTCCAGCTAATTCAGTGGTGTGAAGAGAGGAATCTACAGCCTCAGATTATCCCTGCAAACTTCCCTGCCCACCTGAGCATAGACAGGGTGCCCACTATGGCATGTCTGAAGTCACTGCTGTGCAGTGGGTTAACAGAAAGGGAAGGACTAGGCAGCTTTCTGGGGACAGGAATGCATTTTTGGCTAGAGCAGAGCTTTGCATCAGGCAACACAAGCAGCATTCACTAGCTCAGGCATGGAGCTTTAATCCCCATGTAAAGCTGAGCCTGTGGTTTTTCAGGCCTCTTGCTGGCATTGCCAGCATGCGGTCCTGCTGTGTGCCATATCTGATCTCCTCCTCATGCTGCTTTGTCAAGGCAAAATCACACCAGGGAAATTGTCCCTTTGTGGATAAACTGGAGGCCTAGAGGGTCCTGCCTTGTCAGACAAAATGGGGCAAAGCATTAGATGGATGGGGATGAGGCAAAGTTGCAGATGGTACAGGGAGATGAGAGAAGCAGGAGCAGGTGGGAAGGACAGCCTCCATCTCTCCATCCACAGGCTGCTCGCAACTGTTTGGTGAACGACCAAGGGATTGTGAAAGTCTCGGATTTTGGCCTTTCCAGGTCTGGTAATACATCTGTGTCACTTTCCTGTCTCAATTTCCTATTGCCTTTGTCAGTTTCTTCTGCACTTTTGTCTATCTCTCCCACAGTTCTCCAGCTCGGCTTTTCCTCTGCCTTCTCCTGTCTTTCATCTGTCTGGCTCAACCTCCTTCACCCTTCCATCATCCCTTTCCTACATCCTTCATCTCCATTGTCCTGTCTTCTTGCTGCTTCTTCCTCCATCTCCAGGCTCCTGGCTGCAGCCTTCTTTCCACAAGCCATTTTTGCTATGTCACCCTCACTCATTCCCAGTCTCAACTAACATAATCTTGTCTCCAAAGGGACATTTTTGCCTTTTGAAACCCATGCAGAGTGCAAACTCTGATCACTCTGAAAGCTGTAAATTCCTTTCGGGCTTTGTTGGTTGCATGGATGAGTGAGAAGTGAAATGGAGGACAGGTGCCCTGATGTGTTGATGTGCTGCAGATACGTTCTGGATGATGAGTACACAAGCTCCATGGGGTCAAAGTTTCCAGTTCGGTGGTCTCCTCCTGAAGTTCTCCTGTACAGCAAGTTCAGCAGCAAATCCGACGTGTGGTCGTTTGGTAAGAGCATGGAGCTAATGACTCAGGGGGGAGGAGGAGGCCCAGCAGCAGTGAGCAGCCTGCTGCACATGGACACTACCACCTGTCCCCGCCGTTTCCCACCACAGGCGTGCTGATGTGGGAGGTTTACTCTCTGGGAAAGATGCCTTACGAGAGGTTTAACAACAGCGAGACCACAGAGCACGTCATCCAAGGCCTGCGCCTCTATAGGCCTCAGCAGGCTTCAGAGCGGGTCTACGCCATCATGTACAGCTGCTGGCACGAGGTACGTGCGCACTGCGGGTCCGGCAGACGGCACGGCGCGGTGCGGGCGCCCACAGCCCTTCCTCTCGCCCCGCAGAAGGCCGAGGAGCGCCCCACCTTCACCGCGCTGCTGGGCAGCATCGTGGACATCACAGACGAAGAGCCGTGAGCACCCCCAGCCGCCCTCCCTTCCCGGTGCCGGTGGCTGGAACTAACGGGCCGGGGAAACGGGACGGCACCTGGGCAGCCGCTGTGCGCACAGCGCGGGCTGAGGAGCCCCACAGAACCCCTCAATAAACCCCTCCTAACGGCTCCGGGCCTGTCGACGCTGAGCATGCGCAGCGCGGGCGGAAGTAAGGGGAGGGCGGGCGGAAGTAAGGGGGCGGGCGTACGCATGCGCGGTCGCAGTGCGGCGCGGCACGTGAAGGTCGTGGCGGCGGCGGCATGGAGGCGCCGTCCGGCGGCGGGCTGGGGGGAGCCGACCCGCAGCTCCAGCGCTTCATCGAGGTGGAGACTCAGAAACAGCGGTTCCAGCAGCTGGTGCACCAGATGACCGAGCTCTGCTGGGTACGGCGAGAGCTGGGAGGGCGGGAGGGCGGAGCGGCTCCGGTTAACCTAAGGAGGCGGTGGGGTGGGGTGGGCCGGGCTTCATCCTGTGGGGAGGGGGATGGGGGCACGGCGAAAGCCCTCTACCTCTGGGTTTGGGATTCGAGGAAAGCTCCGGGGGCTGTTCCGGGGAGGGGAGGCTGAGGTGGAAGAGGGGAGTTTGAAGAGGGGAATAGTGGGCGCAGTGCTGCACCCCCGGATCCAAAGCAGCCACCGCTCCACAGGAGAAGTGCATGGACAAGCCCGGGCCGAAGCTGGACAGCCGGGCTGAGACGTGCTTCGTGAACTGCGTGGAGCGTTTCATCGACACCAGTCAGTTCATCCTGAACCGGCTGGAACAGACGCAGAAATCCAAATCGGCCTTCTCGGAGAGCCTGTCCGACTGAGCGGCCCCAAAAACGGGGGGTGGGACGGCCCTGCTGCACCCTGCGCCCAGCCCTCTGCTGCCCCAACAAGCCGAGGTCAGCTCCAGGGCGTAGGGTTTAATTAAATGACGGTTTTGTGAAAGCTGCAGCCAGCCAGATGAGAGCCCGTAACAGATCCGCCCGCTCTTCAGCGCGGTGTTGTGCTGCCCCCATCCCCAATCACCAGGAAGCATCTTCACACTGGGACACAGGGGCTGCAGGTGTCATGCATGAGGTGGTGGCGGTGGGGTTGCTCCCAGCACTAAGCATGCCACTGCTGCCTTAAAACAGTGCTGCACACACCTCCATTGCACAAAACCAACCCACTGCGCAGTCCCCATGGCTGTGCAGAAGGAGAGCAGCAGGACTGCATCAGCACAGGCACCCCTAAAGAGGAGAGCTGCTGGGCATGGTGAACATCCCTGGCAGTGTCACTGCTGGAAGACATTTCAAGGCTTCCCCAAAGTCATTCACGTGGCCAAGTGACAAACTTTCAAATTGCAGCACGGCTCTCTAGATACTGACTTGCTCCATTCGTTGCTTTCTCTCAGTCAATGTAATAAATATTAAGTGGGTGAAATTTTTAACACGAAATTCTCCTTTGTTCAGGTAGATGATCACTGAAAAATGGAAATATGGCATTCTTGTAATTCCTTCTCCTTCACGGTGATTTTATTTATTTGCAAAATTAGAAGAGAGGGGGAATAATTGTGCTCTGGGTAGGCAACCTGCTGTGAATTCTGATTTGTTGCTCAACATATTTGGTCCTGTGAATCAAAGCTCACATTTGTGGCCTTTCCCCTTCCTCCCTTAAGGGTTAACAGAACCTGCTTCCTTGTATAATTTCTACAGAGAGCCCAAGCACACGAAAAATATAGGCAGCTGCTTTGTAACTACCTGCACCTTTATTTGTGGGGATTACTGGAGGGCAGCCTGCGGCTGTGTCTTCTGGACTTTTGCCCCTAGGAAATTACACAGAGCTTCTAACTGGAAAAACAACCAGCACCTATTAACTCACCTTCTGAAACGCAGTGTTTCAGGGCCGTTTGCAGACAGCCTGGCTGTGGGAAGCACGGAGTGACCCACGTAACTAACATGTGGCTTGGAGCTCTCACAGAGAAACCTCACAAAGTGGTTCTGTGCATGACAGTTTGCCATGGGTGGCTGGATGGGGTGTGTGTGCAGCATCTAACGGGTGTCTTGTAGCCAGCAGCCTTCCTAGGAGTGATTCAGAATGAGTTAAATAGAGCTATGCATATACTAACCTGCAAGGATACAGCTATCTGCCCATCTTTCCAAAGCTCACCTCAATAGCTGAAGACTGTTAGGTCCCTCCTGTCCCCACTGTGAGCCATTCTCCCTTCCATCTCTGCCCTGAGTTTTTCTCAGGCACCTGCATCATTCCTCCTACCCCTGCAATCCTTCATGCCCCTCTGTGCTGGCCCAGCTCCTGGTACAAACGCATCTCCAGCTTCCTGGTAACTGAACACTGCTGGCTTTAATGCTGTATGCAGGTGCATCATCAGCCTGCACAACAGATGCTGCATGATCCCCTCTGTAAGAGCCAGAACATCACAGGGCAGCACCACTGAAGTTCTCCAGTCTTGGCTGTATTCTTCTCTTGGATGTGAACCTGTAAATAAATTCTAACAGTGAGCCGAACCAGCAGTTTACAGAAGAATTTTTGAAGTACCACTCTGGGTTTGTCATCCTTAAGGGCAGGCACTTGTCTTCTATCCACATCATATCAGCACCACGTTAGAAGATTAACAGTGATAAAATAATCTAAGTATTCTTAAAAAAAAATGCTCGGAAGCTTCTCCAGCCCTTGTCTTCAGTAAGGGTTATTAGCACCGTGTTAGTGCTGCAGGCCTCTGTGCAACCAAGCAGATCCTGGCAAGGGCAGATCAATCCCTCACAAAAGCTGGAGAGGCACTGGGTCCTGGCAGCAGGGAAGTTCTCAGCACTCGTGTCTGTAACAATGAAGGATGTTACAGGAAGGATGCAGCCCCTGCCAGCTTCCAGACAGTGAGAGGTCACACCAATCACACACCCAAGGCAGGCAGAAAGCAACTGCTAGCTCTGCACACACCAAAGTACCTAGCAGCATCCAATGCAGCACGTTCAACCTTTGCACCTTGTGGAGCTGCTTGCTGGCTGGAGCTGACAGCACTTGAGAAGCTCCCTCATACACTTTCACCTTCCTCCTCTTCTGTGCTCTGAGAGCTTTTGTCCTCGGAGGGCAGAAGAGGCTGGTGCTGACACGACTGATGTCTGTCCTCACCCCTCCATGCCGTGCGCAGGTCTGCCCTGCCTTGCTGCAGGAAGAGGGGCAGGAGGTCTGGGCTGAAGGGCACGTCCCTGAAGGCGTGAAGGAGGAAGATGCCGGACACGATGGTGAGGAAGCCGCTGATGGTGCCAATGATGTTGTCTAGCACCATGTGTTGCCACTCCTTGAAGAGGATGGCAGAACATGTCATGACTGAGGTGGTGAACAGCACATAGTAAATGGGAGTGACCACGGATGTGTTGAAGATATCCAGGGCTTTGTTCAGGTAGTTGATCTGCACGCTGATGCAGATCACCAGGCACACCAGAAGCACCCAGCCCAGAGGTTCTTTCAGGACTGGCTTCCCAGCAAACAGTTCTTTCAGGGCAATCCCCAAGCCTTTGACACACGATACAGAAAGTGAGCCGATGGCAGAGCAGACCAAAACATAAACCAAGACGTTGCTCCGTCCGTAACGGGGTCCAGCCACAAAGATGAGCAGGAGGGAGCTCACCAGGACGCACACAGCAAACACAATGAATCCTTGGAGAAAGAATAATTAAAGGCTCTATCAGAATGGAGAACAGTAGTCCCAGTGACAGAACAGCAAGCAGGGCAGTGGCACATCCAGAACCTAGGGCATTACTAGCTGCTGGGGGCATGCTGACCAAGAAGGGGGGGGCACAGCCCTACAGGAGCACCGTGCAGGAGGGCAGCAGAAAGCTAAATGCTGCAGGGTGTGGTGGGAAAGAGAGTCCCCATCGGTCTAGTCAAGCTGTTCCCTCCCCAGTACTGTTATTTCCAAGTCTGAAGTTGACATGATGCCTTTCATTCAGCTACCTGGATCTTTCAGCTTCTCTGCCATCGACTCCAGGCTGGAAACCTCTTCTTCCTGAGGAGCGTGGATTACCATCACTGTGGAGCCCAGGATGCTTAGGACACAGCCAATCTTGCCATGAACATTCAGCTGCTCATTCAGGAAGGTGGAAGACAGAACCGCACTGGAAAATCAAATCAAATCAAAACAACAACAACAAACAAAACAAGAAAGGCCTAGCAGTTAGGAATGGAATATCTGAGGGAAGAGACAGAGGAAAGCAGAGCAGCTTTCACCATTTAGGGTGGTAGGTGAGGTAAGGATGGTTCTGAGGCTGCTTACCTAACGAGGACACTCAGAGCACCCAGCGGAGTTACCAGCGTTGCAGGGGCAAAGGCATAGGCAGCAAAATTTGCTGCTTCTCCAATTCCCACTGCAAGAGAAACTCTGTCAGGTGAACATCAGAGTAAAGAGCAGTTCAGTGTAATACAAATGTATGTGCAGGCAGAAGATTTCCCATGTGCAACCAGGAGAGGACAGTGCCAGCCAGAAGAAGCCGAAGCTTTTCCCTTTAGGACACAGGAGGCTCCTGGTGACGCATGGTTATCCCCAGTGGCCATCCAGCTAAGCAATAACAAGAGAAACGCCTTTACATGTCCTCAAAGCTGAAAAGAGCTTTGGCTCATTACTTTTTCTAAGTTAATCTCTGCTGGAAAGGTTCTTAGGGCTTTTTGCAGGGTAAATCAAGTGTCACGTTTGACAAGCATGCAGCCGAGCTGCTGGATCAGTGTTAGCTGCCGTGCTGATGAGCATCACCTGACTGCAGGGTTTGGGCAGGGTCAGGAGCACTGTCTCAACCCAGTCAGACCAGTTCCTCAGTTCCTATTTAGCAGGGCTTCAAAATAATTTAGAGTTATAATTAGATCAACATCCCCACACGTTCAGGAGATAAAAATCAAACAGATCAGCAATCCTAGGATGGCTGGGTTGAAAGGGACCTCAAAGGTCAGCCAGTTCCCATCCCCTGCTGCAGGCAGGGCTGCCCAGCGGATGCGCAGCCCGGCTCCGGGCAGCTCGGTGCACGAAGGCTGCAGGGAAATCCCCTGGGAGCACAGGCCGAGCACTCCCAGCTCGCAGCCCTTCCCCGCAGCAGAGCTGCTCCAACCCTCGAACATCCTCGTGGGTTCCTCCTGACCCCTCCTGCGTTCTGGATGCAACGCGGGACCTCAGGAGGGCAGAGCAGAGGCACAGCCCCCCTCCCGGCGTCCCTCCTCCCCCCGTCGGCGCTGGGTTCAATCCTGCTGCTCAGCCTTTCCCGAGCTCTCTGTACTCACTGCACAGCAGCCCTGCCCACCACAGCCACTCCCGCAGGTACGCGTGCCCTCCGTGCCCTGCGGGGAGAAACGGACGCGGCAATGAAGGCGCCGCTCAGCCGCAGGCGGACCCCCGCTCGGGGTCGGCTCGGGCCGTACCTGCCCTGGGACGACCGCGGCCGCACAGGCGGAGCAGCCCCTTCTTCTTCAGGATAAAGCTGCCCCCGATGAAGACGCTGGAAGCCAAAGCCAACCCCAGCCCCACATAAAAGCCGTGCCGACCTCCTGCCGGCCCCATGGCGCCTCCGGTCCGCCGCGATGCCTTTCCCCCAGCACGGAACGGGCGGTGCGGGGCTGCGAGCAGCCCGGACGGCACACGGCGCTCCGCCCCGGCATCGCCCCGCCCGGCGTTGCGCGGAGCGGCGGCCGGAGCTGAGGGTTGCGTCGGGAGCCAGGCCGGGCCCGGCGCTTTTATGGATCCGCTTCCAGCCGTGGAGTTCTCGGCTCGAATTTGTTGTTTCCTTTAAGGCGAGAGGCAAAAAGGATGAGTAAGAGCAAGGACGACGCTCCGCATGAGCTGGAGAGCCAATTCGTGCTGCGGCTGCCGCCGGTGAGCGCCGCTGTCCGCTCCGTCCCAACAGCCCTACTGCTGCAGAGCGGAGCGCGGGGCTCCGTGGGGCTGAACGGGGTGAAAGAGGGGATAACGGGGCTGGGAGAGAGCCCTGCGAGGCAGCAGTGTGTGTCTGCCGATTGCGTGCTGGGCTGCGTCCTAAAGAGGGCTGGCAGACGGAGGGGAGGGTTGTTACCCTCTGCTCTGCCCTTGTAAAGTGCTGTATGGAGTGCTGTGAGCGGACCCGGGGCTCCCAGAGCAGGAAGGGTCCGGAGATGGGAGCGAGGTGCTCACAGGTTGGAGCAGCTCTGCTATAGGACAGGCTGAGAGCTGGGGGTGCTCGGCCTGGGGAGGGGGCGGCTCTGGGGAGACCTCCCTGCAGTTGGGGGAGCTCACAAACAGGAGGAGAATTGACTCCGCATAGTGATAGGACAAAGGGGAATGGTTTAAAACTAAAAGAGGGGAGATTTTGGTTGGATGTCCGGAGGAAATCCTTTGCTCAGAGGGTGGTGAGGCCCTGCGCTGCTGCACGGAGCTGTGGGTGCCCCCATTCCTGGAGGTGCCCTGGGTGCCTTGAGCTGCTGGGGGGCAGCCAGCCCATGGCAGTGGGTTGCAACTGGGTGGGCTTTGAGGTCCCTTCCAATGCAAGCCATCCTATGATTACCAATTGATAAGTCGTTAGTGGTTATTGCTGTCAGCACGCTTAACGCTATTTTGCATGTGCTTAACGTGAGGCTGTGGATCATGAGACCACATGAGGATGCTAAGAGCAGCTGTACCCCCAGCTGCTGTGCAGGATTTCACTGTCAGGGCCTCACAGTGCTGTCCAGCTTCATTTTTCTTGAGGGGAAGAGGCACACAAGGAGTAGTGGGCCTGTGAGATTAATGCATGATTCTTGGAGGAGGGTACAGCTTTCCCTGCAGATTGTAGGCTGGCTTTTAGAATTGTTTTTCTGCCTTGGGTTGACAGTGTTGTTTAAAGCTGGGTATCATAGACTCACAGAATGGCCTGGGTTGAAAAGGAGCACAATGCTCCTCCAGTTCCAACCTCCTGCTGTGTGCAGGTCGCCAACCAGCAGCCCAGGCTGCCCAGAGCCACATCCAGCCTGGCCTTGAATGCCTGCAGGGATGGGGCATCCACAGCCTCCTTGGGCAACCTGTGCCAGTGCCTCACCACCCTGTGTGAAAAACTTCCTCCTAATGTCTAACCTAGACTGGACACAATCCTTCAGTGGCTTTAATGGCAGCAACCCCCCAAGTCCCAGCATAACCCTGCCCAATCATTTCAGGAATATGCCTCCACTGTGAGGAGAGCAGTTCAGTCCGGGAGCGTCAACCTGAAAGACAGACTCACCATTGAGCTGCACGGTGAGTGAGAGGCAGCCTGTGCCAGTGCCTCACTGCTGCTTCTGGGACAGTGTTTTTCCTCCCCTCCAACCTTCCCAACTAACCTGTCCCATGGCTTTCCACAGCTGATGGGCGCCATGGGATCGTTCGTGTGGATCGAGTGCCGCTGGCAGCCAAGCTGGTGGACCTGCCCTGCATCATCGAGAGCCTAAAAACCATCGATAAGAAAACCTTCTATAAGACAGCAGATATTTGCCAGGTATGGGCTGTTCTTGCCTGCCTCAGCAGCTCCTTGCTTGCTCCTCTCTCTGAGTAAACCTGTGTACACTCGGATAGGTTGATGCCCTGTATAACATGGCCAGTTTCTGTATTGTCATATTGGTAGTTCAGAAACAGCCTTGATGTTTGGATTTCAATTGTGCCTGGGAATCCCTCTGGCAGCCCCTGTTCATGTTCCAGCAAAGCTTCTACGTCCTTTTGTCCTTGCATTGCAATATGCAACCTTTGTGTTTATATGGGGGTTTCAGATGCTTGTTTGCACCGTGGATGGCGATCTCTACCCTCCTTTGGAAGAGCAGACTGTGAGTACTGACCCCAAGGCAAACAAAAAAAAGGACAAGGACCGAGAGAAGAAATTCATCTGGAACCATGGCAGTGAGTAGAGGCTCTGCCAGCGCTCTCCATCCCACAGCCCCAACATCCCCACAGCTCTGCCGGGTGCTGGCTGTGCTGCTGCTCTGCTTTCAGTGCTGTCTGGGTTCCTGAAGGGAACATCTCCGTCTTGGCAGATCAGGTTTGCCAGACCCAGCTCTCTCCTTAGGCCATCTGCCTGACACATGCAATCTGCTCTGTTGCAGTTACTCTTCCCCTGAAAAATGTACGGAAGAGACGATTCCGGAAGACAGCTAAGAAGAAGGTGAGTTGTTTCTCTGGTGCTGAGTGGTGCAGGTGCAATAACCAAAGAATCAGAAGGCAGAGACACTGGAGCTGTAACTATCTGTCCGTCCTAAAGAGTGTCTTAGCATTGCTTCACATGTTTCCTTGCCAGAGATGAGGGAGAAAGCAGGCAAGTGTACTTAAAGCCTTCCTTGGATGTTTCTCCTGTGTTTCCAAAATGCCCCTGAAGTGGGAAAATACTCTGTGCTGAGAACTGCTGGACTCTGTTCTTGTGGCTGCTTTGTCACAGTGCATCTCTTCCTGCTCTCAGAGAAGAAAGGGTTGCATGGAAGTAAGACTTCACTCATTCCTCCTTTCCCAGCTGAAATCTTCTCTCTGTGCATGGCTCGTTTGCTTCCCCAGCAAGCAGGCACTACAAATAGAATAGCTGTTATTTCAGCTGGGGGAGTGACAACAGATGGAGCTCAGAGACTGTCTCAGTACAAACGCATAAGCCAGGAAAGGTGTTGGGGAGATGCAGCACCACGAGGCTGGGAAGAACTGCTCTCTGCTTTGCAGTTTCTGAGAACACAGCGGAGTGATATTTTGCATGACATTTGGGAAACAAATTATTTCAGGCAGTCGTATAGCCCTCGAGAGAGGTTGGCTGTCACTACCTTAAGATACACGGCTGATTTAAAAGTGACAAATGAAACCTCCTTTTGAGAGAGATGGGAAGCTTGAGGTGACCATCCATCAGTGAATGGCACTTTGAGCACTTTCAGTATGCACATAGGAAGCCTTATTTCGGGAGTTCTGTTGATGGGTGCATCAGAGTAGTAGAAAAGTGAGAGCATACAACCCAGCAGGGAGATGTGCACTGAAAAATATGGATCACTGTTCTGGAGGTGCATAAATCACTTTTCAGGTGGAGCGTGAGCGAAGGTCAGGTGGAAGGAATAAGAGAAGAGAGGCTTGAGCTGTGTCCGGAGGTTGGGGATAGGAGCTGGGCAGCACACAGCTCCCTGCACCAGCTGTTTGATGGATTGCCTGTTCTTTCCCCTCTCTGATGCAGTACATTGAATCTCCTGATGTGGAGAAGGAGGTGAAGCGTCTCCTGAGCACCGATGCTGAAGCTGTCAGTGTCCGTATCCTTTCAGGAGGAAAAGAAGCTTGGGTGAGGGGGGGGGTGAGGCTGTATGAATGATCTGGGGTTGTGAAGAGAGCTGAGTTCAGCTCTGTGGGTGTCAGGTTAGGAGGTAAAATCAGTGTGTCACTGAAGTGAACTTTATTTTTGCCTTTTTCGAAGCTTATTGTATCTTCCTGGTGACCTTCCTTGCACTGAGCAGGAACTTAAGTAACAGTAGGGGGCAGGTCTTCAAAAAGGTGGGCTGGGGTGGCTCAGTGTTGGTATTCATAACTGCAAGGCCGTGCCTGTTACAGTGGGCGATGAGCTGCAGTTTTTGGCTTTCTGCACCTTTCCCATTCGTTTTTTCCTTGACTCATCCACTCCAACTGTCAGGCTGGGAAGTCATTGCTGAAGATGAGACAAAAGAAGTGGACAACCATGGTTCGCTCACGAGCCTGGACATTTCTTCCCCAGGGATGTCAGGACATAAACAAGGCCACGGCTCCTCAGGTACAGTGGGGAGGGCCGCTGTGTTTTTATGAGGTAAAACCCAATGGGGGTGGAAGTGTCCAAAGGAGGGAGGGCAGTGCTGAGATGGACACCATATATTGACGGTGCCCATGACAGGCACAGGGTGCTGGGCTGTTTGTCAGCTCCGTTCTTCCTCTTCCATTTTGCACTCTTTAGAACACGACGAACTGCGGGAGATATTCAACGACATCAGCAGCAGCAGTGAAGATGAAGATGAGCGGGATCATCACGATGATGAAGACCTGAACATCATGGACACCGAGGAGGACTTGGAAAGGCAGCTGCAGGACAAACCAAATGAATCCGATGGGCAGCAGCAGGAGAATGAGGGGTCCAACCAGATAGGTGAGTCGGGTGGCAATGCTGCAGAATCACTGGGGTGCCAGGCAGCTCAGCCTGTGCTGCAGGTCTCTGCTCACTCTTTTCCAGTCATGGGCATCCAGAAACAGATTGATAACCTGAAGAGTAAACTCCAGGAGACCCAGGACAGGAGGAAGCGCCAGGAAGATCTCATCATGAAAGTAGAGAACCTAGCCCTCAAGGTGAGAGGTCTCCTGGGGTCTCTTCTAAGTCACGTGTTGAATAGACTGATTCCAGCGGTGTCCTGAAAAAACCATGGAAGCCAGGGGCATTTGCATGCTGGGTTAAAAATAATTGTGCTGTGACCATACATTCCTGCATCTTCCCATGGAGGCAAAGCAATCTGTGAAGCTGCAGGAGATGAGGGTTTGGGAATCACTGCGCTGTTTGACGTACCAGCAGCCGTCCACAGAGTGTTTTGAGAATTGTGGTCTGGTGTTTTTGTCTCTGTAGACCCGTCTCCAAGCTGTGCTGGATGAGTTCAAACAGCAGGAAGAGCGAGAGAAGCAGCAGGTGAGGGAGCTCCCCCAGTGGAGGGCATGCTTCCCTGCAGTGTGCAGGCAAAGCAGCCGCTACTGCAGGTGGAAGGTCTGCAGCCACTCTGCAAGGAGGCCCAGCCCTTTGTTTCTGTGACACCTTTCTCCTTCTTCCCAGATGACATCTCTGCAGGAGCAGCTGGAGTCCCTCATGGAGAAGTGAGGCATGGACCTGACCAGAGCAGCAGGGCACGTGGAAGTAAGCAGAGCTGGAAGTGCTCAATCCCATGCTGAAGTCTTGCTGCAGTCACTGCTGCAGTTCAGGGCAGTGCAAGAGGTTCTGTGTCCAGTGCTGCTCCTACGTGCCTTGTGCTGAGCTTGGCTGTAGAATTAGGCTCGTGAGAGCAGCCAAATGCTTGGGAGTTGCTGTAAATATTCAGAAGGGATTTGGTTCTCCCTGGGTCAATGTGGTGCAGCTCTGTGCACTTTGTTGAGTCTTGGATGTGATGGGAGCTTGTCACTGAATTTGGGAAATGCTTGTCTGCAAACCAGACTCAATAAAGGACCATCTCCAACCCGGTTCTGTTCCTCTGTATTCCCCAGGGGACAGGCTAGCACTGCCTCTTGTTAGCTTGCCACCTGGCTCGTGCTTCCCCTGGCACTGCTGGGTTCCTTCCACCAGAACGCTCTGTGCACGGTGGGGTCAAAGGGAAACTGTGTGCAAAGGGGACCCCACACACTCTCAGGCTGCGTAAGGAAGGAGGTTCTCCTGATTAGGGAGTTTCTTTAATTCCTCACAGAATAGGCAGGCAAATCCCAGATTAACCTGGCAGGGTGGGAAGAGGATTAGAAAGGCAGTTCCATTTGGCAGCTGGCAGAACACAACAGAGTACATCACGTTGGGGTAGTGTTATCCTGCGTGCTGAGGAAGGGGAAAGGGCTGCTGTAGTGTGGGTGCAGCCAGCACAGAAAGCAGGAGGCTGGTGGCAGCTCTGGGAGATGACATGCCTGTAGTCTGGAAAGGGAGCTGCCTCAAGGAGAACGCTGAGCCTGGGGAGGCCCTGGGTGCACACGGGTGCGTGCATGTGTGGGACCTGTCCTGGGGGCAGCCATGGAGGAAACGTACCTGCTGAATGTGGAAGGGGTCAGAAAGAAGATCCTGCACGGAGGCCGAGGGGAGCTGCCGAAGTTCCAGGATGGGAGCAAGGTAAATCGTGTTGGTTGTTATCCCAGAGCCCCAAGAGAGAAGGGAGCAGCTCTGACACCTCCCTCCTTGCCCATCGCCACTCTGCCAGGAATGGTGGGGCTCAGCAGCCATGATGGCGTGCTGGAAATCCTTCTCCTTTCCCTGACACATCAAATGGGAGTGGAGGGGCCAATAGAGTTTCTAAAAGCCTCAGGCCATATCAAATGGACAGATCTGTGTGGATGCCATGAGGTCCTGGAGCTGACTTAAAAAGGGGTACCCAAGGGAAGCAGCCAGATCTGGCACTGATGAGCATTACGATGCTCCACCAGCTGCTTTCTGTCTGAGTTGAGGGTAGGAGGCACAGTCTCCTCGCTGTAGATGGAGAGCTGCCAATCCAACCTGCATCGCACCAGCAGCAGGCTTGTCCTCATGTCTTGGCCCCACTGCGGGGGGTTCCTATCCCATAGACCTGCCCCAAGGCCAAGCACGAGGCCACCCCGTCACCACCACGCTTTTTTGGGGGGCAGATCACTTTCCACTTCCAGACACTGAAGGACAACTTTGAGCGGACGGTGATCGATGACAGCCGGGAGGCCGGCATGCCCATGGAGATCATCGTGGGCAAGATGTTCAAGATTGAGATCTGGGAGACGCTGCTCTGCTCCATGAGGACGGGGGAGGTTGCGGAGTTCTGGTGCGATGCCATCGTGAGTGAGGGGTCCAGGGGTACGATGAGTGCCATCTGCATCCCGCATTGGGCTGTGCAGCCCGAAGACGTGTGGCATTGCCTTGGCCTCCATCCCTTTGCAGCACACAGGGATGTACGCCCTGGTCTCCAAGGGCATGCGGAGGATCGCGGAGGGCCGGGACCCCCTGGAAGGGCAGAAGCACCGCTGCGGCATGGGCAACATGTTTGACTACCACAGCACGGGTTACGATGACCTGGATGAACTGCAGCGGACACCTCAGCCCCTCATCTTCATCATGGAGCTGTTCCGGGTAAGGGGAGGGCAGGGTGATGGGGAACGGACGGGGAAGGGGCTCAGTGCCCGCTGCCCACACAGGTGGAGGAGCCCTCAGCCTACAAACGTGACACCTGGGCCATGAGCAAGGAGGAGAAGCTGGCGGCCGTGCCTGTGCTGCACAGCGAGGGGAACCGCCTCGTCCTCCAAAAGGACTTCCAGCGCGCAGCCGAGAAGTACCAGGAGGCTGTCATCTGCCTGAGGAACCTCCAGGCCAAGGTGGGCCACCTCCTGCCATCCCTGCTGGCCTTTCCTTGGCCAATTAGTCCCCCATAAGGGGATGAGCACCTCCGTGATGCCCCATTGGGTAGGAGAAGCCATGGGAGGAAGGCTGGCTGAAGCTGGAGAGCCTGGTCACACCGCTGGTGCTCAACTACTGCCAGTGTCAGCTGGAGCTGGGAGAGTACTACGAGGTGCTGGAGCACACCACGGAGCTGCTCCAGAAACACAACGGTACCCCTATGCCCTGAGTACCCCACAGTGTGCTCGTGGCCCCTGGGACTTGCCCTACAGCTCACATATGCCTGGTGCCCACAGCAGTGCCCCTGTCCTCTGGATCCCATGGTGTCCCATTTCAGCCAGGTTCCCTCATCCACAATGACACCTGCACCCACGTCCCCTGATCCCCCAGCCCACCACAGTGCTCTCCAAACGTTCCTTAAGTCCCTTACCCACAGAGGTACCCCCATGACCAGTTTCTCCTTCCTCGTGGTCCCCAGCTCCCCGAGGTACCCTTACCCACGGGAGCATCCACACCACCTCCCCACACCCGTGTTGGTACCTGGGTTCCTGGGGGCTCCAATGACCCCACTGGCCCCATCCCACAGACAATGCCAAGGCCTATTTCAAGCGGGCGAAGGCGCACGCGGCCGTGTGGAACGAGCGAGAGGCGCGGGAGGATTTCCTACGCGTGGCCCACCTCGACCCCGCCATGGCGGCCGCCGTCAAGAAGGAGCTGAAGCTGCTGGGGGAGAGGATGAGGAAGAAGCACGTGGAGGATCGGAAACGTTATCAGGGGCTCTTCCAGCAGCCCCGGGGGGGGAGGGCTGGCATGGGTGGGAAGCAGCAGGAGGAGGTTGGGTGCCATGGAGGGGAGCAGGGCGTGGGAATGGGAGAAGTCGGGGTTGGTGAAGGAGAACGAGGAATGGCTGGGGATGGATGTGGAAAGGAAGCATGGGGAAGAGGAACAGCCCGAGGGGAGGCTGAAGTGGTGGGAAATGGGGTGGGACAGGGTGGGGAAGTAAAGCTGGGTGTCTGTAAGGCAGAGCTGGAGAGCTGTGGGGAAGAGAGAGGGGTGGAGGGATGGGAGGAGGAGGAGGTAGTAGAGGAGGAGGAAGGAAAAGTAATGGTGGAGGAGGAGGGAAAAGAGATAGTGGAGAAGGAAGAAGAAGTGGTTAAAGAGGCAGAGGAGGAGGAAAAGGAGAAGACAATGGAGGAGGAACAAAAAGGGAAGAAAGAGGCAGTGGAAGAGGAGGAGGAAAGGGAGGAGACAGTGGAGAGGGAAGAAGACATGGAGGAGGAGAAGGAGGAAAGGAAGGAAAGAGAGAAGGGGGAAGAAGAGGTGGGGAATGTGGAGGAGGAGGATGGGGTAGAAGAAGTGGAGGCAGTGGTGGAGAAACAAGAAGGGAAGAAAGAGACGGTGGAAGAGACAGTGGAGAAGGAAGAAGAGAAGGAGAAAGTAGAAGAGGAGAACTCAGCAGCAGAGATGGAAAAGCTGGCTGAAGGGCAATGTGAGGAATCAGACAAAGGAGAGCTCATGCTGGGGAAGGAAGCTGGTGGGGCTAACAGAACTGGAGCAAAGAGCGTGGCTGGGGAGGAGTCAGGCAGAGCTGCAGAGCAGGCACCTGCATATTTGGACCAGGGGACATTCCAGGGGGAGCTGGGGAAGGGCAGCTGTGGGGGACAGCAAGCAGACAGCCTCCCCTCCACCAACATAACCAATGGGGCAGTGCTTCAGGCTGGGCCATTGGGTGCAGATGAGGAGCTGGATGGGGGAACAGAAACGCCCCCCTACCTCACACCAGTTGAGGAAAGGGGTGGTGCAACCTCAGGACTGGGGGCACCCCTGGAACAGTGCAGGGAGACCAAAGAGCTTGAGGCCCCTGCAATGGGGCACAGGCAGGCCTGAGTGGGGATGGTCGCTGCTGAATGGGGGACAGGGTGTAAGGCTGCCCATGGGAGGCAAAGCAGGGGCAGAGGGACTGCAGTGCTGCCAGGATCCCATTTCCCACAGACTGGGGACATTGCAGTGACACAGAAACAATGCTGTTCTTCCACTGGGCCTGGCAGCTCCTGCTGCCTCCCCTGCCCCAAATCACCACTCAGCCTCCAGCCAGGTCCTGCTGAGTTCTGTTGGCTGAGAAATAAAGTCTCTTCCTTGGCACTGTGTGCTGGATCTGTTCCTGGACATTCCTGGCATCCCTGATCACAGCCCCCAGCTCCTGCCATGCACTGAAGCCTGCAGCACAGGGGTGGGAGGGAAGGTACTTTAAACTCCTTTCAGGGCTGCAGCTCTGGTGTGAGAGCTGCCCCAACACTCCCCTGCCACAACCTGGCACCATCAACCCATACGCATCAGCCTTCCACCATCGGTCAAGGCTGTGTGTTGGGATGGAGGTCTCAGAGCCCTGGGTTGGCCCGCAGCTGGGACTTCACTATGGACACTGGACATGGGATAGAAAACCAGGGAGAGAAGCTGCAGCCTGAAAAGGCAGAGGGAGAGGACTGCCCACCAAGGGTCCCTGCTGTCACCTCCCCCTCTCTGGTACCATCCTTGCACAGCCAGCGTCCCAGCTGCTGCATGGCCCCAGACTTGCTGAAGAGGATGGATGCAGACGGTGGGCAGGGGATGCAGCTGCAGCCAGGTTGCCCGCGGCTCTGCTCGCAGTTTCTACTCTGCCCTGGCGGTGACACTGAGCAGAGGGATGTCCTTGGCCCTGCAGGAAGGCCTGTTCCAGGATGGCACAGCACCAGGCGTTGCTCTGGCTCTGGGGGTACAGCGGAAAACAGCATGGAAAGAAGAGGCCGGCACACACACCGGAGGCTCAGTATAAATACAAATTTATTCTCTTTCCAGAGCAGAGCAGCCAGGACAGCAGTACGTGGTTATCAGAGCGTCAGCCCGCCCGCATTCCTCCCTGCTGCCCTCAGCACAGCCCAAAACCTGCACCCACAGCCCACAGGGCAGGCACACAGCTCCCTACAGTGAGGATCTGCGCCAGTTTGCCATAATTCTGCCTTTCTCTTTTTATGGGGACGCCCTGATCTTGTGCAGTAGCCATACTCCAAGGGTGCCATATACCTGTTGCCATGTCAGCATCCCTCCCTGGGGCACTGCAAGCAGCTCTCTCACCTTGTGCTACGGCCAACCCAACACCTCCATCCTCTCCCCAGGACAGCGACCCACAGAACATTGGGATGCTGGCACCGCGTGCCACCCACCAGGCCCACACCTCCCCCATTGCTTCACGCCTTTGCCAAAGTGCCAACCCCACAGCACGCAGCTCCCTGCTCCCCAGCATGCTGCCTTGGTCCAACAGCCCTCCTCAAACACAGCACATCCAGCACAGCCAAAGCCCCATCCCTGCAGCACGCAGAGATGCACAAACACACAGCCTTCCCTGCACCCTGGCGTGCCCAAAGGCTGCTCCTTTCTATCCATTCCAACCCTCTCCCACTGCGGGGCACCCAAAGCACCTGACTCTGCAGCTTTCTCGACATAACGCAGCCCCTGATCCTACATCACAGCCCAACATCCTGGCAGCCCCCAGGATGCTCCCCAGGACAGCAGGTGGAACAGAGCCCTGCTGCCAGCCTGGCCCCATATCATCCCACCAAGGCAGGGAAGGGTCCCTGCAGGAGCAGGAGTTGGGCTGGACCGAGAGCGAAGTGCAACTACACTCAGTGTTAGGGTTTAATGGCATGAGTCCGTGAGAGTATTTAAGTACAGAATATATATATAATATATAGAAATATATGCAAATTAAATGATAAGGCTCTGTTATAAAGATCCTCCCAAGATAAGGCTACTAGTTGGGCTGAAGCTCTGGTGTGGGCTCGTCCCTACCCCACAAACCCAGCACCTCTCAGAGTCCCATCCACAAGGCCGGCAGTCGGCTGCTGTTACAGAGTTGGCTCAGCCCCTGGGAGGCTGCTCGGTGGCTGCAGGAGCGTTATGGTGCCCATCACCCTAAAGGGCAGAACCAGAGAGGAGCAGGGTGCTGAGCTCTGTGTGCCGTGCAGCTCTTCCTTCTGAGCCTCTCTGCGAGCAGTGCTGTGACCCCACAGCCCCGATGTTCCCCTGAGATCTCCTGCAGCTCACGAGCATGGGGAGAGGAGGGGGCGAAGCAGCTGGGCAGTGGTTAGGCAAAGCCTCTGGAGGTGTTAGATAAGGGAGGTCATACCTGCAAGAGAGATGGGAAGGGAGGAGGTGTTAGAAGGTGGGGGTGGGACGGGGCAGCACTGCCCTGTGGCGTGTTAATGCTGGCACCAAGGAGCATCTCCTTGCTGTATGCATGGGCATTCAGCAGGCGGTCACAAAGCAGCCCCACCTCCATCCCAACCCCAAACCATCCCTGCTGGAAGAGCTTTCCTTGCGCAGCCACGAGAGCTCATACTGCTGCTGTTCCTCTCCTGAAGGCGGTCACCGCAGCCTCGCTGCCGTCACTCTGTCCATCCGCAGCACAGAGCCCATAGGGCAGAAAGGAGCCAACACCTCTGCCCAGCTTGCGGCTCCGAGTGCTGCCCTCGCAGGTGGGAGGGCTCCTCCTCATCCTCTCCGTGCTTGTGGCAGTGGGGGAATCGGTCCATGTGGGGAGGGTGGGATCGGGGCAGGGCTCCGCAGGGGAAAAAACCTCATCTGATGGAGCAGTAGGACGCCAGCGAGGGGGATTTCACCCGAGTACCTCGAGAGTTGGGGAAGGCGCTGCGCAGCTTCTCCATGATGTCCTCCAGGCACACGCTGACTTCTTGTGTTTTGGCTTCCACCTCATCTGCTGAGGGAAAAGGCCGGGCTGAGCGGTGCGTGCATTTTGCAGCCATCAGCCAGGGAGCTCCAAACCTCACCTGCTGCTTCGGTGTCAGGGGTGTCGTGCTCCTTATCCCTCGCCTGGCCGCCTTCAGACTGATGTGGAGATGAAGCCAAGGAAGATGCTGCTGAACCATTGCCATTTGACTCTGCTGGAGGCTGGAGGGAGAAGGGCTCATTGCAAACCTCATTCCATCCTCGTCCCGCACCTTATGCCCACCCCGAGCCCTGCTCTGTACCTGCAGCAGCAGCTCCCTCAGCCGGTGCAGCTGGGACTCCAGTTGCTTGTTGTGATCCTCAAGGATCTGCATGCGGGTCTCCAGGCGGCTCTTGTGCTGCCGGAGGATCCGAGCCTCTGCCAGGAGCTCCTCGTTGCGTGGGTCCTGCACCAATTCGGGGGAACTCGTAGCCAAGGTTGGGGATTCCACTGCCTCATCGTGCTGCCACTTCAAACGCCTCAGCTCTCCCTGGAGGATCCTGCAAGGCAGCCCAGGTCAATCCCACCACTCTCCTTTCTGGAGGATGATGCAGAGATGGAGCCGCCCAGAGGCTTTGCCTGCAGCTCCACTTCATTGGGATGGCAGGCAATAGGCACCCAGCTGCTTCCTAGAGGCTCAGAGCAGAGGCAGGGAAAGCAAAGCCCTCCTGCTGTGCTCGGCTGTGATCCAGCAGCATCTCCACCATCCACCAGGAGCTCAGAGAGGAGAGAGGCAGCTGTGGCCAGGGCCCACTTGAAACAATTCAAGAGGAGTACTTGGGTTTCAAGAGGGGGAACACATTCTAAGGTAGGGCAGGAACCTTTTGAGGAACAGAATCTTGGAGAACACCAAGACCTCACCGAGTTCAGTGCTCCCCAAAGGCTTTAGGACCCATCCTCCAAACCATACCCCACACTTCGGGCCAAGCTGGGTTTCTCCAAGCCCTCGCCTTAGACTCAAGCCCCTGCTTGAAGAGCTGCCTGTGTCCCCAACCTGTTTTCATCCTCCAGGTGGGCCAGGATGCGCTCCAGCTCCCCCTTATCATCCATGGGCAGGCTGCCTGGGACCTGCTGGCTGCCCACAGGCTCCCGGTCCGTGATGGGGCTGGAGTGACGCAGCAAGTATTGGTCCTCATCCCTGTTGCAGCAAGTGGAGGAAAAGTGGTGAGGAACATTGGAGCTTAAAAGTGGCTGCAAGACCCCTGGATAGGTGGGGGTGCCCTAGGAAGGTGGGGATGGAGCCACAGAAGCATGGAGAGGAGGCAGAACTTACAAGCTATCATCAGGGGACAGGCTGTCACTGAAGAAGGAACAGTTCTGGTTTTCCATCTCTGCAAGCCTGGAGGAAATAGAAGTGGCTTGAGACAGCTGGAATGTCAGCTGAATGCACTCTAATTGCAGCAGTCCCTGGAAGACCTCTCTCTGTCCCCAGCGGCAAAGCCACTGCCAAGAGCTGACACACAGCATTCAGGGAAGCATCTGCCCCCCAAACTCCCACCCCACTGCAGCCACACTCTGTGCCACAGCAGTGCTGGTACCTGCTGGCAAAGTGCTCAATCCGAGAGTGCGTGTCAGCGTGAGGCAACATCGGGGAGGAGGCTGGTCTGGAAGAAAAGAACACAGCAGTCAGCAAGACTCGTGGTCCTTGCTCACAGCCAGGGCTTGGAGGGGCTGCCCTCCTGCAATAGCTTAGGGCTGGGCCAGTGCTGAAACAAACTGCCTCCATCCCTGGGCAGCACCCCCACATCAACCCCTGGCCAGCTCCCTCTATCCTTGGCCATCCACCTCCACCCATCCTTGGGCAGCACTCCTCCATCCCATAGCCTCCAAGCAGCATTCCTGGAGATGCCACCTCCCTTCCTTGGTGACACAGCCACCAGCACACTCACGTCTCAGAGAAGTCAGCCTCCAGCACGGACTGCACAGGCAGGTACCCCCTCTGTGGGTGCTTGCTGAAGTACTGCTTGGACCGAAACTTGTTCTTCAGCGTGGTGGCAAAGTCCCTCATGTTCTCGCTGGAGGTGGTCTGCAGAGAGAAGAACGTGGCTGAGGTGCTGGTTGGCATCCTCAGGTAGGAAATGCCCTTTGGGATGGGCATTAACCCAGTGGAGGCAGAGATAAGTCTGGAAGTGAGGAGGACACAGCCCTCAGAAGGCATAGAGGGGCAAAATCAAGCAAGGCAGACATTGCTGGGACAGCATCAGCCTAAGCATTGCCACTTGTGGCAGCCCAGCCCCTTACCGGGGTGTAGTACTCCATGATGGGGTAGTGCAACTTGTTGCCCTTGCTGGCTCGCCCAGTGAGGAAGCAGGTCTGGCAAATATCCACGTTGAACTGCTTCAGGCTGCGGTACCTGCAGAGATCGGGAGGTTGGAGGGAGAAGTGGAGGCAGAGGAGCTGCTGTGACCCATGAGGTACCCGTGAGGTTCCAAACTTACACCCCAGCCCCTACCTGAAGCCCTTGATGGGGCACTGCCGGCACACAGAGCACTTGGTCTGGTGCTTCACCTGCTCTGCCATGGTGACGCGGTGCAGCACGGCCAACCACACCATAGACTGAGGCTCCAGGTTGGCCCACTCCAGAAACTGGGCTGCCTCGATGGCAGGTTTCCCATGGCTCTGGGGAAGGGATGGGAGGAGATGCTCAGGGCTGGAGCCACCCACCGTAGGGCACCGACGGACAGACGGACACCACAGCACTCACGAATCGGAAGCAGCTGCGGATGCTGGGCTCCACGTTGCTGCCCCCAAACGCTGCCACCTCACCCAGCTGCCGTGGCACCTGGATGGCCTCGTGCAGCAGCACACCCAGATGCCTCTGGTCACACAGCCCGCCTGCGTTTGCCACTTGGCTGAAGAGGTCTGCAAAGGGACAGGGAGGGGACAGCCCTGTGAGATGCATGGCTGGCAGCTGGGCTCTGCTACAATCAGGAGGAAAGGAACCCATTGTTGATTAAGTAACTTCATCAGCTCCCAATAACCAGTAGCTGAGAGACCTCTTGAGTCATCGCTCCTTGATTTAACCCATTGGTGATCACATCCTTCCAGTGTCCCACTGCAGTACCACAGTTAAAATGCAGCAAAAGGGCTCACATTGACATCAACACATCTGCCTGGCCATGCAATCTGAGCTTATCCCTTGAAAAGCACCGAATAACTGCTGTCCCGTGGCATTCTCTACACTGCTCCATGCAAGCAGGACCCACGCTGCACCCATGGCTGTGCAAAAACACCTTCTAATTTGGGTGGCGTAGGCGTGGGAGGGAGTGAGGGGAGGTGATGCAGGCAGATTAGTCACTGCACAAAAGCTGCTTCTCTGCTCTTTTTGGGAAGCGAATGGCTAAGCCAGAAAGTCAAAGCACTCCCACTTCCCCCAGCTTGCCAAGGAACTCACACTGAAACTTCTCCTTGACCTCTGTCCCACACAGACATGCAATGCCCGTCTTGAAGGAGAGAGCCCTCATCTTCCCACTGCGGCCACTGCAAAGTGAGATATAACACGGGTGGATTTTTGGGCAGAGGGGTCAGCAAGGCAAACCCGCACCAGCCAGCCCCATCCTGACCAGCTGGGGCCATTTTGCAGCTCCCAAGCACAGCAGCCCCAGCAATGGGGGGATGCCTCAGGGCTGGTACCTGTCGAAGACGTTGAGCAGCCAGTTGAGGCTCATGTCCACGCAGAGCGGCACGTTCACCAGGATGCCCCGCTCCTCCTCCAGCCTCTCGTAGAGGGAGGTCAGGCAGTGGATGACCTCCACCACGTCCATCGCGCGGTCGCTGGGCTGCAGGTCGTGCTCGTTGAAGATTTCCAGGGCCGTGGCCAAGGTCACCATGTCCACTGAGCAGAGAGCGCAGGCAGAGGGATCAGAGATGGGGGGGAAATGACTTGGATAGGAACTGAGAGCAAGGAGACAGAGCTCTGCTGCAGTAGGGAAGAACATGGACGGCATGGGCACAGCTCCTGGAATGGCTCTCTCATTGTGAACCCCACCCCAGATACTCACCAGCCTCTCAAACCACTTTCTGTGTCATTTTCCTTCCCTGCTGCCATGGCTAAAAGCAGCAGTCCCCTCAGGTACTGGCATGGGAGGGCAAAGTTCGAGGTGTCCTGGAGCCAATGTGCCATTTCCACATTATAACACGGTGTGGGAAGTTCTCCCTTCTCCTGACCCATCTGGTGGTTGCACCAGGGATCCCAAATTCACAGATATGGCTTTGCAGCATCCCTAGCCTGATTCAGCACTCACTGCCCTGACAGTCCCATCACCCACCTCCTTGCCCTTCTCAAGTGGATATTGAAAGAGATCACATCACTTCTGGAACAAGGAGATACAGACAGCCAGAACTGATCAAGGAGCACAGGAAAGGGCTCTTTATCCCTTTGCTCTCTGATCCCTTTGACTCACACCCTAGCCCCAAGGCAGACATCCTGCTGTGACTTCGCTCAGCTTCCCAGCCTTGGGCTCATCTCCCAGCACATTCCTGGTGGGCTCCTGCCTCTGACAAGAGGCTGTGCTCATTGAAATGCCTCTTCCAAGGAGATCCACCAGCAGGGAAATCCTACTCACATCGCAGGGCTTTTTGCACCCGCCGCAGCTTCATAGCTGTCCGATAGGCTGAGAACTTGATGTTGTTCAAATCCGCTGCAGTAACACAGGAAAGAAGACAAAAAACACAACTAAATACCCTTGTCTACAGGGCAGGAAGCAGCGGCTGTTCTCAGACACAATGCCCACCCAGCACAAGCCTGGCTCAGCCTCACACCCCGTTGCATTTAGGGCTGAGGGCATCTCACATTGTTCCACATGCAGAGACAAGGGGTTTTGGGGACAGGCTCCTCACCCAGCGTCTGGTACAGCTCTGTCATCTTTGGGTGGTCCCAGCACGTGGTCTGTGCCTGGTGGCTGGAAGCACAGAAGGAAGCCAAGGTGTCAGGCTGGGAATCAAGCACCCAGAGACAAGGAAGTGACCATGGGATGATGTCCCCTGTGCTGGTGCCACAGGCTGCACCCCCAGGACACAGCAGAATAGGGGATGCCCAGGGGGTTGTACCCATCACTGGGGCACGGCTCTGCTGGTCTCAGCTGGAGCTCAGTGCCTCCCCCAGCCCACCCCCAGCTCCTGTTGCTGCCACAGAGCACACTCACTTGATGTAGTATGGCACTTTGTTGGGGGAAATGGCTCGCTCCCAGGGAACCTGAACAGAGGCTGCAAGGAGAGAGGAGCAGAGGTCAGGCCAGAGCTGGGAGCTCCCTGGGGTCAGCGCTGCTGATGGTGGGTGCTCCCCAACCCCCCATCCTCAGGTGCTGGCAGAGGTTAAGACACTGCCCATGAGAGACCTCAGGAAGATGAGGGCTCATCCTATGCTCATCCCACCCTAGAGGAAAGAAGCCTTTCTGTGACCCTCCCACCACCCCACAGGCATCTTATCAGTTCCAGCAGCTGAAAATATCATCCTTCCTTCCTCCCAGCTTGGAGAATGAGGGCTGTAGAGGCACCAAGTCTCCACTGAGACTTGTCAGCCCCACAGGGCTCAGCGTTGCTGCTGCCTCCTGCACCGGGTACAAGATTTATGAGGTGTGCTGCTTCAGCTTTCGGGAGTGCTCTGCCCAAGGACCTGCACCCCATGCTGCTGTACCCCAGCTCAGCCACTGGGACCTGCCCACGTACAGGAGAGGAAGTGCTGGGATCCCGGCCCGAAGTCCCGGTGGGCATCTTGGAGCTGCTTCAGGCGTTCGTTGATGGAGGCCTGCAGGATGGACAGAGGAGAGTGATGGCACCCGTTGGGCATTTGGGATGGCAACCCCATTTGGAAAGTTGATGGATGGACCCAGATGTGCTCCAAATCATCTTCCTCACCTGGATTGCACATTGCTCAGCCTTCAACTTCCTCCCACAGGCTGGGGAAGTACAACCCAAATCTCCATCCCACCCTTATGCATATTTTCACAGATATCAATGCAATCAGAGCAGCTAATGACCCCCATCAGATCCCACCTCGCCTCACGTCACCTGCAGCTGCTTCCAACGTGTGTTGATCTGCTCCAGGGTGCGAGAGTTCTCCATGGACAGGTGGACATCGGAGATGGCGAGCTGGTGTGCAAGGTCATTGACCACCTTCACCCCATCCTTCATGGGAGAGAGCTCCTCTTTGAAGAGCTGCAGCACCACATCCAGGCACAAGGCAGGGAAGGAAGGAGAACCAAGATGTCAATACCCAGATGTGATCCTTCTGCTCCAAGCTGGGAGTCAGCTGGGGTCAGCTGGCTGCTGCCCAACCCTCCTGCAGACCAAAGCCGGATCCTTCTCAGAGCCACAAGTACCTTGGTCGACTGGATGTGCTCTGGCAAGGAATCGATGAAGAGGTCCCCGATGGGTTCCCAGGTTTCACGCACGCTCTCAGCCTGATCCAGCGCTGTGCTGAGCTCCTCCATGGCCCCTTTGATCTCCAGCAGCTGCTCCAACGTCCGCTCGATGTGCCGGTGCTGGTCCACGCAGCGGGCTGTCAGCTTCTCCCACAGCTCGCTGGCTACGTTCGCCTGCTTCCAGACGAAGCGGCTGATGTTCTGGATGCGGTGCCGGGGAGACACATCTGAAAAAGCAAAGCAGGTGAGGCACACAGAGGGCAAAAACGAGAGCCGAGGACAAAAGCACAGCTCTATTTTCTACCAAAGAATCAGACAAAGATGATGTGCTGCGGCAAGAGGCAGAGCAATCCGTGTCACACCAGCCACCCCCCTCCAATCCCACAGTCCAGCCCCAGAAGGGCCATAGGAGAATGAGGAACGAGGGCTCCACAGACCTTTGCTTTCTGAAGTTGGCTCTTCCAGTTCCTCAAATGGATGCTGAGAGAGGAAAGCCTGCGCTGACTCTAAGACAGAGTAAATGTACGGCCCCCGGGACTTCACCTCTTCCATGAAAGCCTGGAGAGGAGAGCAGGGCACGAAGGAGATGACAGGCTGAGCTGGAGAATTACATCCTGCTGCCCTTTGGCTGAGGGCTGCAGTGATTTATTCATCCAGTGCCCACATGGGCCACCTGCAGAGACTCCTCAGTGACATCAGGGCCATGGGTGCAGATGCATGCCCTCAGCCCGGGTTGGTACACGGGGACGTACCGCGTGCGTCTCCTTCTCCTGCTGCACCAGGAGCACATCGCCACGCAGGGGCAGCTGTGCCGACAGCTCCTCATCCTTCTGGCCCAGCCAGTCGATGATCTCCTGGAGGGGCACCTGCAGCTTCCCACTGTGGTCGGAGAACGCCTCCAGACGAGCCCTGGAGGAGGGCAGTGACAGCGTGGGGTCACCAGGACGGGGCTGTGGCCCCACAGAACTCCCAGCTATGGGGACGCTGTGTCTGCAGGTGGGTGGGAGGTGCTGGGCAAAGGATGCTCTGCAGACACCCCGTGCATTGCAGCTGGCAACAGAGCACCCAGGACTGTGCTCCGGGCAGCGCAGGGGGCTTGGCTCTATGTCTACACAGCTGAGCAGCTTCCAGGAGTCAGCAATGAAGCAAGAGGCGATTAACACGCCCCAGTTAAGCTCTCTGTCCTGCTGGCTGGAAGCTGCAGCCTCTGAAGGTTGAGCTCATATGGGTAATGAGCTCGGAAAGCTCCCAATGAGCACAAGCAGCCCACGGGGCTGGCCAGAGGTCTTACCGAAGGCTGTGAGATTTCTTTTTGATCTCGTTCCAACAAAGATTCATCTCCAGAGGGGCCTGCGGCCCAGCAGCACTGTCAGGAACCCGGGGGGTTACACACGAAGCTCCTGTGCCATCCTGAGAGCCTTTAACCTGTGCAGAAACAGAGCTGGCTGGGATGTGATGCCCAGAGGGAGCTGCCAGCACTCACAGCACCACACCCAGTGCCAGAAATGTGGGACTGCACCACTGCTTCTCCCCTACACCTCCCCAGAACCACCAGTGGCACAAGAGCTGCTCCGATGGGAGCAAATAGCAGCAGAATCTGCCCCGGATGTGCACAGAGCTCCATCAGCAGCACAGCTGGAAAACGGGTGCTGTGCATCCTCAGTGAGTGAGCAATTCTGCCCTAAGCCCCCACCACTGCCTCACACCCATTTCCTCTAATAGTGGCAATGAAATCGTTGTGCTCACTGACCATACCAACAGGGGCTGGCAGGACCAAGAGCATCTCATGGGACTTGGGTGAGCAAGGCTAGGGATTTCCTTTCCAAAGAAGCATGCAGTGTGTACACACACATACTCACACACACACTCACACACTACATTGCTACAAGCAAGGTGTCAATGTACTTTGTGCACAGCATTCACTCTCATGCTACTTTGCTACCAGAACTCATTTGGGGGCTAATTATCCCCAGGTGACTAATGAACCACAATAAACTGCGTTATCGCTTCCTAAACAGCCCATGCAACAGGCAAACTTCTCCAGAGAAGGCAGCAGTGTTTCCAAAGGGAAGGTGTTGGTACTCCTTGCCTTGACAATGGGCTGCTGGAGTGCTCCAGAGCAGCAAGCTGGGAGAGCCACCAGCCCCAGAGCTTGGCCAAGCAGTGCCCACTGTGTGCTGGCTCTCATGGAGGGAGCCAAACCCAGCTCTGCTAAGTTTGCTCCTTCCAAGGGCATCTAATGCCGGTTTGCAGGCTGCTCCCCCGCCCTGCTGCTCCAGGAGCACTGAGAAAAGAGAGAAACCTGTCGCCCACAGAGCTCACTGCGATCTTGGGGCCATACATAATGAATCACTTGAGCTAAAACTGCTGCTCACACATGGGGAAAAATAAACACAAACCAACAGTCTGCCTGCGTAGCTCCTCCTGTTGCCAAAGTGAGTTGCCACTCAGGGATGCCAAAGCAGGAGAGCAGCTCTACCTGTATGCAGTGCAGCTTAGCAGCAACCACAGCCCTTCTAGCCCAGGTGTTCAAAGCCCACAGCACACTGACTACAAGCTGTGGATCAGCCAGTAGTAGTGGCCAGGCATGGGCCACCTACCCCCCTAGGACGACCCCTTGCAAGCAGGCAGAGGGCAGAATCATTACCATCTACCCGAGCATCCCCTGAGCACCCCTTCCCCAGGTCTGCAGCAGCCTGGGCCCACATCCCCCTCCACCCCATAGCAGGATTCTTCCCAGGACTCACGCAGGCTCTGGTGATGTCTCCTGCCTGCTCGGGGTGCAGCAGAGCTGCTTGGAGCAGACATTGCCTCGGTTCTGCTGTGCAGCAGCGGCTGCCCGGGAGGCAGTGAGCACAGCTGTGAGCACAGCACAGGGCTGCCCCAGCGCTGACCCCCCAGGAATCTGGAGGGGGGCGGCTGTGCCTCCTCGCCAGCCTCAATCCCAGCTTTGTGCCTGTGGCATTCCTGCAGCCTCCAACCTGCCTTAACCCCCGGGGTGCCACCGCTGCACACCCCTCACCCTATGAGGCTGGGGGGCACACGAGGGTCACTGCCAGGGGTAGGGGTACCCAGGTCCCAGCAAGCTTTGACAACCCAGAAGGCGAACCCGCCCTTCAGACTTAGCCCCAAGGTGTTCTCCATGCCCCAGCTCAGTGCTAGGTGCCAGTACAGATACTCCTGTCCATCTGGGTGTAAAGAGTTTGTTTTTGCCAGCAGGCTCTGGGCTGGCTCCCCATGTCCCCCACAGTCCTGCTGGCCAGCATTGTTCCCGTGCTCTCCTCCACCTACAGGGAGGGAATGAAAAGCTCCCTGTCTCCCTGCACATCTGACCGCTGGTGGCACTGCCAGCTGCTTCTCCCACTACTTTACCCATTCCCAAAACCCCCCAGCCCCAGAACCACAGGATGGAGCAAGGCTCAGCCAGCTGTGGCAGCCTGGGCAGAGTGCTCAGACTGACTGGGACAGCAGAGGAAGGCTGCAGAAAGCCAGGAAGGAGGAGACCCTGCTAGGTTGACACTGACTCAGAGTCAACACCCCACGCAGGGACAGAGAAAAGCTCAGGTGGATGCAGCCCAAACGTTCACACCTTTTCAGTGGGATCTTCTCTCCTCCACTCCACTCCACTCCTGCAGAGCTGCCCTCTTTGTTCCCAGTGCAGGTGAGCAGGAATGCTCAGGACAGAGCATCCTCAAGAAAAACAGCCCAGGAAGAGAACAGTCTCCTCCACCCCACAGCACCTCAGTCTTTGCTTCTTTATGCGCTTTCCAGCCCTTCCTTTCCCTCATCAAACATTCCTTTTCAGCCAAAGCCGACATCCTTCCCCACGTCCAAGGAAAACAAACCCATCCAAACACATCAGAGCACCTGGCAGCAGCAGCAGCCCCTTGTTTCTTATTCCAAAGGAACATTTAAAAGCAGCTCTGCAGATTGTCCCTCGCGCTCTCCTTTGGGAAACACTTTGCAATCCAAGCACTGACGGGGAGGTAACAGCCTTCACGACACACGAGGCAATGTGGGGTCGGGGTGGGGGTCCCCACTTGCTCCATGGGCACACACACTACAGGGGCTTTTACCTGGGACAGCGGGTGGGCAGCAGATCCACGCCGCGCCTGCTCAGCCACGCGCCACTCAGGACACCGCGGGACGACGAAGGGCCATTCCTGCATCACCAGGGGCTGCATGGGCACCGCCGCTCATGGGGACGGGGAGGACCCCGGGCACCTGGAACAGAGTAGAGCAGGCAGCCCCTCCTCACGCTGAGCCCACGTGGGGGCTGAGCACCTGCAGGTGGGTCAGCTTCTCTCTGCCATCGCAATCTTTTTTTCTTCCTGACTCGACAGCCAATTCTTTTTTCCCCCCGCTTCTTCGCACCTCATTATGTAATTTGCCATCCTGTTGGCCCACACACGATGCTACGTTTAAAAAAAGCACCGGGTTTCCCAAAGCACAGGAGATGCCTGCATGAAAAGCAGAGCAGGGAGAGCTCCCACCGCACCCAGGACAGACAATACCTTCAAACACATCGTATCTTTGCTGTTGAATCCAGAAAGGAAATTTCCCAGCACCTCACTGCCTCTCCTCGCCAAACTGGTTCCCTTTTTATGCGCTTTTTATTAGGAGCCATAAAAGTCACAGTTTTATTCAATTTTTAAAACCTGTGCGACCATAAAGCGATCCAGCAGCAGCCCCACAACCGCTGTGCATAGCCAAACAAACCCTCCGGCTGCTGCTGGTTTGTTTTTATTGCCTGGGGTCCGACTGAGCCAGGACGGCAGTTTGCCCCATTGTCGACGCTGCTTCCTCTTTATGCAGAGTGGATGAGAAGAGAAAGCCCAGAAAGAAGCAGTGTGAGAGGTGCAGGAGCTCGGTGCAGGGCTCAGGGCTGCCGCTCCTTCTCCCCAGCCCTGTGTGCTTCCCCTGCCTTCCCCCTCCGCTGCATACATTCAGAGAACAGCTTATCCTCTGATGTTTTTTTTAATCCCTTCGCAATTTCTGCTGCCACAATTCTCCCCATCTCCAGCCGAGCAGCCCGCGCTGAGCTCTCCAATGCACACATAATGCAGAGTCCATCCTCTTCCCTTCCTGCCACTTGCACAAATGAGCATCACAGAATGCACACGGCAGCACCTTGCCCTGCTGCCTTCCCCAGCGCAGACACATCACAGCTCCAAATGCCTTCGGGGCCTCGTTGGGTAAACTCACCCATGGACAGGAGACAAGGACATCCCCTATTGCCAGAATAGCAGTGCTGGCAGGGGCTGAGCTGGCCCTCACCCTCCTGAACACTTCATGGATGAGAATTTCATCTCTTGGATGTGATTCTCAGGGCGCAAAAAGAGATTTTGCCTCAAATTGCCTCCGTGGAATCCTGCTGAGCTCCAAGTGGGAAATTCACGGCTTTGGGTAATGAGGTTCTGCGACATCTCCCAACAGCCACCAGCCTGCAAGCACCTCAGCTTTCCACCAGCATGGAACTGCTTTTTGCTCAAGGATAGATCTCTGTGGCTGGGGTCGGTGCTGCTCTGCCCTCTGGGTGTGAGGCTGGCAGCTCTCTGCTCTGCACCTCCTGGCTGTGGGGCTCCTCGCCTCCCTGGACCAAGGCATGGTCCCATCAGACACAGAGCTACAGCACTTGGGAACAAGAGTCCATCCCAGGCAGCTGCTGACATCCGTGCGTGGAGAACCCAAGAGAATCTGAAAATAACCCAACAGTACAGCAGCCAGCACAGAGCCACACATTCAAGGGGAGAGACAAGCAGACGGCAAGGCAAGGCTGCGAGCAAACCAGTGCGTGAGCCCTTGCCAAATCCCAGCTCCTGCAGAAGGAGAAATATTCCTGCTCTGCTCTGTGCCATAGTGCTGCAGCCCAGCACTGTGTTCAGGCCCTGCAGCACACAAATCAGGTGTCTTGGGGATGTTCCTGGGCTGCATGGCCATTGCTGGCTGTGGCTGCTCACCAATAGGAGCTGGGTCCCACTTCACTGTGCTGCAGCCAGGTGTCAGCGACAAAAATGTGGGTGATGAAAGCAGCCTGGCTGAAAGCACATGCAGGCACTGGGAGGGAAGGCAGTGAGCACATTCTGGGAACTGGAGCAGGGTTGGGATGTAAGAACAGAGCCTCAGTCCTTGCAGAAGCACAAGAGGACAGCAAAGAGCTCCTCCAGCCTGGGGCACTGTTTAAAACCCTCCTGACAGAAACCCAGCCCCAAGCTGTCCCCAGAACCTGGGAATCCCCACCATGGTTTGCACTGCAGCCTCCCCATATCTCTGTGGGCAGCCCCAGGATGGGGACTCATCTGGAAGCCAGAATCCCATGTGGGTGTTGGATTTGCAGTTCTCTCTACATGAAAGAGCAGCAAATACAGCACGTGGGGCAAGAGGTCCCTCCATCACAAGGCTGATGTTTTGAATTGCTAATCATCTCAAGATGTTCTTTCCGGATTGAATATTTCCACTTCAGATCCTGGCCTTTAAGGGGAAAACAAGGCAAGGTTTAGAGACAGGGCAGCTCAGCCCTTGTCCCAGGAGGGGAATGGAAATACAAACACACTCCCTGCTGTTGGAAATGTTAATGGCTTTGTTGTTGTTTAGCTTACAGTACCAGAGAAGTAATAACATTTCAGCTCAGTGTCCTTTAAGGGGAAAGGTGGGAGGCTTGTGGATATTTCAAAGTTCAGCTCCCATGTATCCACTCACAAAGGGAGCATTCCCAAGCTGAAGGCAGCAGGACTCCCTCAGTGGTGCAGATACACATCCTGTTCCACCAAAAATAATAATAATAATAAATGGCTTTCTGCATCTGTAAGTAAGTAGTTGGAATCTGAGATCTGTGGCTGGTGGATCTGATTCCCAAGACCCCACGAGGTCAAGGCGTGGGGAGACAGAAGACCTCATCCCATGGAGGCTGAGCTTAAAGACAACACAAGGAGAGGAAGGACCCACACCATGATGGAGGGCTCCATCTCTTTACAAACCAGGAGCAGATATTCAGCCACCCTCCATGGAAACCACCCTCAGCCCCCAGTTCTGCTAGTTCTGCTCTACAATGGCCAGCAGCAACCACCCATATGCGTGGGCACTGAGAGCCCCATCATCTCAGTGCTCCAAAACCCAGATGCCAAACAAGACACTGCATGAATCTTCATCTCCTGTGACACAACCTGTCCTTCCAGGGCGCTCCCTGCCCCATGGTTAATGGCAGCACAGGGCCCCTCAGTGAAGCAGATGTCCTTAGCAAGTTGCATGAAAGCTTTGGTGCACGTGGTGGAGGACATGTGTTGTGGAAGGGACTCTAGTCACTAAGTGGGCACTCTCCCACTGAACAAGCCACAAGCTGAGATAACCACTTAGGTTTTGAGCTCACAACCAGAAAGGGATACGGAGGTGTCATAAGTCTTAACAAAGAAACAGAGCCTCTTCTGCTGCATCTCTGTTTTCCCAAGCCAAAGAATACACACAAATCTCAGGCTGAATAACAGCACCGGTTACATTCCTCATCCAGGAACTGGGGATCTGGACGTCCCCAGCCAACAGTGTGTGCCCATAGGTGGCCATACCAAACAACTGCTCCTCTCTGCACAGAAATAACTTGTGGCAATTGAGGAAGATCTTGAGATCTCTTTCATGTGCCCTTCCTGACTCACAGCTGGGTTTGAAGCTGCTCTCTCCAAAACTCGCTTTGCTGAGGGATCCTTCCCATCCTTCCTCCTCCTGCAGTTAAGCAGGCACTGCGTACCAAGCTTTGCACCTTGAAACCCAGCCAAGGGTTCACAGCCCCTTAGGGCTGGATGGGCAGACAAAAGGTGAAGGGGCTGAAGCCAGAATTCTCCCCATGCCCAGAAGGGACAGCAGGGCAGCAATAACTGTTTTAATGACTGTAAGGAGGCTGCAGAGCACTCTGCCTGCTCTGTAGCCCTGCAGCCAGACTATTTCCACCCACTGAAAGCCCCAAGTCTTCTGCCTGCCTTTCTCCTCCAACAACCTGTGCTGCCTTCCCCACTGTTAGCAGAGGAACAAGTCCTGCTGCATGGTGAGAAACACATCACCCATTTGCCATGCCACTTTCAGCTTCCTCGACACTTTATTTCTCATTTCTGGTGTTAAGATCTGTGCACTGAGAGCTCTGCCCCCACCCCAAGTCTGGTCCTCATCAATTGCCCCCACTCCATGCTACCCAGCCATGAGAGGTCCCATTTCCTTCCCTTCCTCAAGCTGTGTTGGATATGCCTCATTTTTATGCTAGAGGAAACAGTAAAGGAAAATGGTCTGGAGCTATTTTGGCTTCATTCCGACAAACTGTTTGATCTTTAAACACCTGTGAAAATGAGGGTTTTGGAAGAGCAAATTCCTCCTGCATTTTCAGGAGATTTGCAATTCGACTTCCAGGCTTTTATCAGAGGCACCCAGCCTGGAGTGGAGGACCTGAACGTGCTTCTCAAAATGGAGTTATAATCAGAAATTCACCGTGCACCTGGGAAGCCAGGGCTTCAGTTGAACCCATCCACTCCCTCCCATCCCCTCTCCACTTTGCGTACTTTTGAGAAGAGCCATTGCAACCTGGGCAACCCCACTCACAGCTGTGGTCCTGAGCACTCTCCATGAGTGTCATTTATCTATCCCAGGAATTCATTCCCTTTCATCTCCCCTCCCACACTGTACACCTGGCAGCATTCTGCACGTGGAACTGGGATGTGGTGGTGGAGGTGGCCCCAAACCAAGCAGGCAGAACAGCAGGAGCCCGTCCCCATCCTGAAAGGGTTTTGCATGGGATCTTGTTTGCAGGAGACTCAGGGCAGGCAATTAAGGTCACCCAAAAAAATAAGCAAGAGAAAATACTCATGGCTCCAGAGAGACAAAGATGTGGCAGGCAGAAAGAAAGTGCAAAGGGCAGAGATGAAATGTGACCACACTGAGATCTGGTTGCATGATAAAAACCTAACCCAGGCTGCCCAATTGTCCCATGGCAGCACAGGGCAGTGGCACAGTCCCTGCTTCAGTGATCTCACTCTGCAGAAGGGAAGACTCAACACCTCAGGGACTGCGCTGAGGACTGGGAGAGCCTGGTGTGCACCAGGTGGCACTGAGCCACAGTCACCCCACGAGGCATCCCGCCTGCTCCGAGTGGCTCCACACACATGGCAGGGTGATCAGGAGTGGAACATGAGGCCTTGAAAGAGGAGGATGAGGAGAAGGAAGCTGGGATAGGGAGGATCAAGACATAAAGGGAGCGGTGCTGCACCGGGCAAGGCAGTGAACAAAAGGGCAGTGCTGGGACAACAGCCCGATCCCTGCCTGTGCCCTACAGAACGCTCCTGGGAGAACAGCAGCAGGCCAGCACACAGCCTGCTCTGAGTGGTCCTGCAGCTCAGCCAAAGGGGAGATGAGCCTTCAGCAGGGAAAGGAGGAAAGCTGGCACAGCAGGGACGCTCTCTGCTTTGTTTGCATTTAGCATCCTTAAAGTAATATCCTGATCCCTATCGCTAAAGCAGCCTATATCAGCACCCTTATCCGACCCCCAGCCTCCCCTACGGGAACAGCATCATTAACCCCCCCCAGCCGTGCCCCGCGTGCCCCCAGCCCCTTTCTTTTATGCTCTGTGAGTTCCCTCGCCCGCACGGACGGCTGCAGATCTCTCTGAAGGGATGCACGCACACCCAAGGCACCCGAGGACAGCCGCCCCTGCTTCCCCCTTCCCAGCCCCACGGTGGCATTTCAGCACGGCCTACCTTCCGAGCATGCCAGGTCGGGAAGGCGGGCAGCAGCCGGGAGCAGGGGCTGTGAATCAGCAGAGAAGTGCCCGTGACAGGGCTGCATGCTGGGGCTGAGCCTCCTCCGCCGCCACGTTGCTATGCGATCGCCGGGACCAGCAGCATCTCTCCAGCACGCCGAGATACCCTTGGGTCTGTTGGAGGGAGGAACAAGGACAACGCCGTGCTGTTTGGACCCTTTGGAGGTCCTTTGGCCACCAGCCCGAGGGAGGGGAGGGAGAGCAGCGGGGATGCGAAGGCAGACACACGCAGGAGGAGGAGGAGACAAAATACACATGGAGAGAGAAGGGGGTGGCAGGGGGGGGAGGGGGAGAAAAAAGGGAGGGGGCTGGAAGGCAAGCAACACAAAAGGCACCGTGCTCTGACCTCTGGACACCCTGCACAACAGCCAGGTTCAGGTGTGCATCCCACTGCTCAATGGGGCTCTCATTGTGTATAACTTATGGCCATGCTCCTGTGCTGGTAATTGCCAGGCATGGTCACCTTGGTCCTGACCTGCAGTTTGCAGTGAGGTTTAGAGTTTATTTTTTAAAATGGGCTGTCCTTAAGGTAAGAAGTAAGAATGAGAGGGGAGCTTGATATCTGTCACACTGCCTTTTCTTCTTAGAGAAGACAAAGGAAGAGCCCTGAAGAAATCCTTAACCAAAGGTGTTTAAACACGAGGGTGGTGTCAGAGAGCAGAGGTAGAAGCTGAGGGTAGGACCAGAGCTGGAATTTGGGTCTCAGTCCACATATAACATCGTCTGTGGATCTTTGGGTCCTCCCAGGCAAGGCGTTTGAACTCTGTCAGCGGTGTTATTTTCACATTATGGGAAAAGAAGCCGAGCTCCATGAGTTGGCTGTGCAGAGCTGATCCCCATCCCATGCTGTCACTGCTGGGTTATCTCAACCTGGGGAATGTAAGCTCAGGTAACGCTTCAGTTGGTTTGAGGACCCTGAGAACAACACTGATGCCGTAATGCTGCTGTGAGGTGGACACGAAGGGACCAACCTGAGGACAGGTAGGCACTGCACGCCTCCTGCTTTCAAAGCCTCAATAGCATCTGCCTCCACAACAGCCACAGCTGCGCAGCAAAACCTGCCCTGAAAAGCTGTATTTGAAGTTAAAAAACAAACAACAAACCCAAGCCCTGGGTGTGGACTGGGAGGCGGACCAGGACTGTCTTTCTCCTGGGCTATTTTCATGCATGCTCACACACAGATAACTGCTAGGTTAGCTGAGGAGAGCGAGGGGGGAAAAAGCACTGCAAGGGTTGCCTAATCACTGGAAGCATTCAAGGCCAGGTTGGATGTGGCTCTGGGCAGCCTGGTCTGCTGGTTGGCAACCCTGCACATAGCAAGGGGTTGGAACTGGATGAGCATTGTGCTCCTTTGCAACCCAGGCCCTTCTCTGGGCTGCCCAGCGGTCCCCATCCCACCACTGCACAGAGGGATGTGAGCAGATCAAAGTGCATCTGTCACCAACACTGTAAGGAACATGACAACGTGCACAAACAAAGCAAGGACGTATCAAGCCGAGTTACACATGCACAGGAGATGGACATCAGCACACAGACACGAGCAGACAGCAGGAATGGCAAAAATAAGGCACTCTGCAGTACATGCCCCTGCACGATCAATAATTTAGGATGCAGCAAAACACACAGTTTAGGAACAGGAGGACGCAGGCAGGAAATAATCTCTCGTGTCAGCTTTGCTTAAGTTCTTAGACAAACCAGAATCTCTGGTGGATGACTTGCCTGCACGGCTGGGAGCATCGTCCCAGGGCCCCGGTACCTTGTGCTGGGAGGACATAATTAGGACAAACAGCCTGGCAAATCAGGACTCAAAGGGAATCAGGGAGACACGCACTGATCTGCCATAAACACGGCCCTTCACGTGATTGCTGCCACCATGTGAAGCGTATGGGAAAGCCTGTGAGAAGAAGTGCTGGATTTGATGTGCTTCCAGTTCTGAAGATAACGCCAACATCGCCTCCTGTGGAGCTCCAGGAACCCACCATCCACCAACACACGTCTTTCCATGCCTTGGTTGATCGTGCTTTACTAATCAGCAAAGGTTCATCTCAGTAACAGAACTAGCAATCCCCATTGGCCCCACAGGGACATCCCAACATGCACAATGCTGAAGGAAACACAGACATACGACAGACCAAATCCAGATGGGGTTCATAAGACGTGACCCAGAAGTGCAATTAGTTCTGATTTACACCAGTAATCCTCAGTCTTAAAGAGTGGAGCAGAAATCAATTTAAATCATTGAAACAGAGTTCGATGCTCCTGGGTGAAGTTGGAACCACTCACACTGACTGAACACGGAGTAAAGGACACCATGAATGCAAATGTGACAATGGCTGTACGGGGTCTATGAATGCTGTTTGTTTGAATCATTTTAAAGCTGGAAATGGGAGCTGTGTTTGGTACAACCCCAAAATCTTTACTGCTCATCCTTTATTCAAAATCAATATTAATTTGGCCAAATTGCTCTGGAGTTGGAACCTTCCATAACACAAAGTGCCTGGTAGCACCAAGCAACCTAAGCAGTAACCGCAGACCTAACAGCCCCATCTTCAGCAGAACAGGTGCTGAGCTATTCAAGGCAATCACTCTCACCATCTCTCTGCCCACAGAAAAAAGGACGAGCATAGGATATGAGAAAGATGGAGAAACAGTGTGAGCAGATTTGGGCACCAACTCCAACCATTCTATGGTTCTGTGAAAGCCTGCAAACAGGGGAAACATCTTACAGCCTAAAGAAATGCTGTTTCTTCCCAAGTGCCACCAAACCCTGTGCTTTGCTGAGATGGAAGCTCCATCCTCTGGGTCTCCACCTACCTGAATCAACAGAAGGGACTGAATTCTGGAATAGGGACCACAGCAGTCCCTACCAAACTGACAGCAATGCTTTTTTGATGCGGGATCATTGATTGGAGTGGTCACGCAGTGTCCACCTTCAGAGAGCCAGAAGGGATGGACCTCACACTAAGGGACAGAGCTGCTCCATTCCCAGACATCAGAGAGGTAAAGGGAACACAAAGGGCCTTATTGCAATGAGAAGAAATAAACCCCAAATCAGGAGCCCCACGTTCAGCTTGAGATAAACGTAAGAATGGTTGCCCAGACATCAATCCCTACTGTTCCTCCATCTGCATAAAGAAAACGATGTCAAGTAAATAACTGACTCCTCTGTGAGCATCCATAAACACCCAGATCTCCCAAGCACGGATCCCACGCTGTCTGAAGTATTTAGGAAAGCAGCAGGAGGGTTTCTAAAAGCGTGATACCTGGGGTGAGAGAAGGGGGGGAGCTGTGCAGGCAGGCAGCATGGAGCAGAGCAGACCCCTCTGTGTTTGTTCCTGCAGCAGCACTGGAACAGCTCTGCCTGGGAATGAGAAAGGAGGAGGGAGGAAATCTGTTCAGAGCAGCGAGCAAACAGGGGAAAAGGATGTGAGAGAGGAAAAAAGCAGCAGAAGGGAGATAGGGCTAGATAAAGCAAAAACGTGACAGAGAAAAGGCAGACAGGCCGCTTTCAGGGGCTTTTTGTCGTTGTTCTTCAGAGGCTGTCACCACATTTGTGACGTGCTCTCCAATCCCTCCCTGCTCCCTGGGCTCTGCACACAGAGGCAGGAAGGCAATCAGGCAGGGGCTGCTGAAATTCACTTCGACACAGAACAGAGGTGCCCTAAGAGAAAGGAAACTGCTTAGTGATCCATGTGCAGGCAGCTGGAGCGGGGATGGCACGGGATGTGTGAAGAGGGCTGGGAAGAAGCTGCAAGGAGAAAGCTATTCCTGGAGAGCAGGCATTCAGGGCTGACAGGTAAGACACACAGGCAAGCAGCTCAATGCTGTATTCCTTAAAGGAAGAGCCCAAATGCATTAGACAATCAGATATTCACCTCTTTGTCCAAACCCAGTGCCTGGGGCTCAGGAACTGCACCACAGAACTGCACCTTCGCTCCCCACCTCCTACACAGCACTAAGGCTGCTCTGAGCCACACCTCCAAAGGTGCTGATGGGGTCGATTCATTAAGCAGCAGAACAGCATCCCATCTGAGCATCCAGATTTCTAATGCTGTCAGGGGCAGAATCGTATTTTGAGGCTGTGGAAGGTACCCACTGCTTTGTTTGAGGACCATCTCAGCTGATGTGTTTGCAGTGAGCCCTGAAGGTGAGCAAACTGACAGCAAATTTACCAAGGCTTTAAAAGAGAAAAGACCTTTGCTGCGGGAATCTTTTCCTCACATAGAACACAAAACCAAGAACAGGAATAAGGCAGCATCACAAATCCACAAATCAGCATTTCACTGAAACCACCAGCACTGCTGAGGTACTTCAGTGCCTGCCCCAGCCATGGCAGGAAGCTGGGAGTTGTGGCACAGCTCTGACAGCTGGGTGCAGATCTCAGGGCTCCAGAGCCCAATGCCACCTGCCCACACACCTGAGCGACCTCCTCAACCAAACACACCATTTGATCAGAACAAATCATGGCTGTTCTAAAGATCAGAGCCATGATGAGGGACGTCTTTCCTAGAAGTTGGTATTTGGAGACTTGGTTCTTTCAAGATACTCATCCTCCAGAGCAAGCTTGTTTCCAATACCTGTTGTTCTCCCAGGCTGAAGCATCCTCTGCCTGAAGAACCCACAGAGCTCCTCACACACTCTCCCCCAGGAGCCATAGAGCTACAAAGAAAAGCAGGTCAACATGCATTATTAATAACAAGCTATCAGAGGATCCAGGACCACAGCCAGGGAGAGGAGCTCTCTGCAGAACCTTCAACACAGTTGGAGATGAACTCTCAGCAGGGTCACAGTCCTCAGTTTCCTTTATTCTCTTCTCCTGGCTGCAAAAATTGGTGATAAACCACAGTGATCAGGAGGTGACTGCTTTGCCTGGAGGGCTTCCAGCTCAGCTTCAACTCAAAGGCAAAGGAAGCAAAGTGAGGAGACATGGGGTAGAGGCACCAGCACACAAACGTTACTGAAAACTGCACAGAGGTGAGTTTTATTTGTGGTACCAGTTACATGTTATTAAAGTGCTCAGAACACACATGCTGGCAGTTGTTAGAGCTGCAGTGCAAGCCTCAGAGGTTCAATTTTCTGAGTGGCTCCAGCTGTACCACCTTCTAAATCCTTGGGTCCTGATTTATTCATGGCATTAGGAATGCAAAATGCAAGCAGAGGGAAGTAGGCCAGCAAGAGAATAGAAAGCAGGGACACAGAGGAATCAGTTTC